GCGTCGCGAAGAGCAGGAGCGACGCGCGGCTCGGCAGGGCGGTGCGCGGGTCGGAGGGGCAGCTGTCAGAAGTACGAGAATAAAGAGCCATAGCTAGGGTTTACCTAGCTAGGCAAGAGAGAAGAGAGCAAAGAACAAGAAAGAGGATTTGCACTAGCAAGCAGTTGAGTACATATTGGAAACCCTAGATTGGGCTGTACTCGCTATAGAGTACCCCACTGCAGGCTAGACAAATACAACGTTCTGACACACCCCCAAAGCCAAAGTGGGGTGTAATCAGCAGAGCAAGCAGTCATAGAGCAGGTTCACAATTTCTAGCAAAGCTAGAGGCATTCACAAAGGACAAGTGAGGAGGAGGAGGCGGGACTGGAAGATGAAAGGAGATAGGAGGCGGCGGCTGAAGCTGCAGACACACGGGCAACAGGAGCGGCTGGCACAGTGGCTGCCGGGACAGCGCCCCGGACTACTGGAGTAACTGGCTCGGCGGCTACGAAGAGCGGCAGGAGCAACGGACCCACGGGCGACAGGCGCAGCAGGCTCTCTGGGCTACCAGGACAGCGCCCCGGACTACAGGTGCTGCGGACGACAGGACGGCAGCCTCCGCTCAACCTCCCCCAACTGTCCCACCCCCTTTTCACACACCCCTTGCTTTACCCCTAGCTCCACGCCCACGTCACCCCCCTAGCGCCACTCCCCTCGGCTCCCACACCCCCACCCCCCTCAGCGGCAGCTGCAGCAGTGGGAGACGAAGAAGGAGGAGGAGAAGGGGAAGGGTAGGACCCACACCACTCACCCCCATGCCCGCCACCCCACACCCCCCACCACCGCGGAACGCACGGCGGCACGGGAGCAATGGGCGGCACGGGGGAGGGAGGGGGGGACGGGACAGCAGTGGCCGCGAGCGCCTAGCCAGGGCGCCGCGACAGACCAGCAGGGGCCGCGCGCGCCTGGCCAGGGCGTCGCGACGGAGTAGCAGGGGCCGCGCGCGCCGTGCCAGGGCGCCGCGACGAAGCAGCAGGAGCCGCGCGCGCCTGGCCAGGGCGCCGCGACGGAGCAGCAGGGGCCGCGCGCGCCGTGCCAGGGCGCCGCGACGAACCAGTAGGAGCCGCGCGCGCCTGGCTAGGGCGCCGCGACGGAGCAGCAGGGGCCGCGCACGCCTCGCCAGGGCGCCGCGACGGGACGGCAGGGGCCGCGCGCGACACACCAGGGCGCCGCGACGGGACGGTCGGGGGACGCGCGCGTCGCCCCAGGGCGCCGCGACGGACGGGCAGGGGGCGCGCGCGTCTCCCCAGGGCGTCGCGACGGAGCAGCGGGGGCGGCGCGCCAGGAAGAAAAGGGGCCGCGCGCCCCGGGGCGCGCGCCAGAGAGTAAACCGCCGCGCGCTACGTCGCACGCCACGGGGCGTGCGACAGATCGAGTAGCAGTGGAAGCAGGTTGGTGGGCCAACAGGCCAAGAGCGTAGATGCTCTGAAACCATGTCAGAAGTACGATAATAAAGAGCCATAGCTAGGGTTTACCTAGCTAGGCAAGAGAGAAGAGAGTAAAGAAGGAGTTTAGAACAAGAAAGAGGAGTTGCACAAGCAAGCAGTTGAGTACATATAGGAAACCCTAGATTGGGCTGTACTCGCTATAGAGTACCCCACTGCAGGCTAGACAAATACAACATTCTGACAGCAGCGCCCACGGGCTGCAGGGGCTACGCGCGGCTCGGGAGGGCTGCGCGCGGGCTGCAGAGGCAGTTACTACCAAATGATAAAAGCATTGCGTATATTGGTTTGAATAAGCCAAATGCGTGGAGGGGTACATTCACGTATGGAACCGTATCGATTTTACTGTTATCGATAAAGTAGCAGTTACTATTGCAATTCTTTTCAGTGACGCATCGCGCAACCTTTGGGGGGCTAGTTAACAGTCTCGACAGTTCAATCTACAAATGTGAACTTTCTACCTCCCCACGACTGCATACCCTACATGAATGCGCGATAATACATGAGTGCGCATCCTCCGTATTAGACAATAATATTATTCTGCCATTCCTCGGAAATATTTAAATAACATATGTGTTATTTCAACAATGGAAACATAACGAAGTGGGTGCTTCAAGTAAATGTTAGAAATACCACTAACTGTAACAGATAACAGGGTGTAATATGACCTTATACATATTGCTCAAAGGAGTCTCACGACCTCTGTTAAAATTTGCACTTCACAGGTGAACGTTCATTCGCCAGCCTTTGCGATATGTGCAATGTGCATCTAATGTGTTGGAGTAAGCGGGAATCAACTTTAGTATTCCCGAAGGTGCAGCTGTATCAACAACAACAGCAGCAGTATTGGATCAGCTCATACAGAACAGGAAGGTCAACAGTCGCAAAAGGTCAACTGTCGCGACTATTGACCATATGGACCGAACGGTTACCTGCGAAGAATGGCAACAAGCGTAACTGTCTATACAGTTACACGCATCGACCCGATAACAAGATAAGAGCAAGAGTCGGGGTTATTGTAGAGATGTCTGTATTACAGTTATAATAAGGGAATGTACCCGTATAGTATATTGCTAGCTAGATCTATTTATTGTGTGTAATGTTTTATTTTTAATCAAATCATGTCATCTACATTCACTATGCACAAGGTTCCTACCACTATTTCAAGACTTCCGCTACCAAACTCTAGCTGAATTATTCTATCCAAGGATCCCTATTCTAACATAATGTACCCCCACGTAACATGCGTAATTTCGGTACTCCCGTCTGCGGGTGGCAGCGTCTGTTCGACATGTGCACAATTCCAAATTCTTCTGTCATTAACGAGTCATGTTCTTTCAGGTCGGACCTGTATTGTTCAGTCACATGCCTGATGTTGATACCAAATCCGAAGATATGAGGTCAGTGAGAGTTCAAGAAAAGAGCTTGAACTTGGCAACATGTGTCTATAACGGAAAAACAAGCATAGACAGAGGCTCCGTTTGCCCCAAACGGCGGTGCTCCCCTACTGAGCTTTCGCTGTACTGGACTCAGTGTTGTCTTGAAGTGTAACGGCGTGTCCGTGAGGATTTTGCGAAGATTTCGGATTTGGCACATGTGAATTACAGTGCACGGACCGTCTTAGAGAATCACGGCTTGCAGCGATCCACCCTGTGAGTCGGAACGGGGAGGGGGAATTGAAGGGATAGAAGTAGTGGAGTCCTAATACAGAAGCTTTCCAGTTTCTTGTAGCTTGGCCCTCGCTTTCACAATACGAAATTTGAAAAAGTGTTACACTTTTACAAATTATAATATTGTGAAAGCTTGCTTATGTACGAGACTGGTGTTTGGCTCTTAGAGAAACGACGTGTTCAGGGGACCGATAGTGGATGCACCAAGGAAGAGAATGGCTCTCACATGTTCGGGGATGGTGATGGGTTCGGAGTTTGGGAGTGGGAAATGTGGGAGGAGTTTGGGAGTTTCGGAGTTTGTACCCTACAAGTCCGAAGTTGTGTACAACACAGCCCTTGAAAGTTACCAGCCATGCTGCAAGTACAATACAGTGGTGTGCTGCCATGCATGTATCGTCGTTTTCTTGCTGCCACTTCACGATCTTGCAGATTTCGCAGCCCACCACGGGGAATGAATTGTCCAATACACACGAATGATTTGCTGAAGATTCTTCCGCGTTTACCCAATACAGTAGCGAAAATTCTCCGCGTCATTCCCTCGATGAATCATATTGATTGTTCTGGAACCCAGAAATACCTCATTGAGCCGCATTCACGAACTTTTGCGACTAGCGTAACGTCCGTGTTTCCGTGCCAGAATAATCTTGCCCGAGCCAAGTCCGAACCAGCATCGCAATCTGCGCTCCGCTCCGCGCCTCAATTTCCTAATACATTTCAGCATATTTCCGTCCCGAGCCGGAAGGCTGTTCCAGGTTGGTCCCCCAAACCAGGGGGTCATCCTCCTTTTCTTGCGAAGACACATTTCCCCCTCTGCTTCGGGAAAGGGGACCGACAGAACAATTTGTCACCAGGCCTGCCCATTGCCCAACCCAACGTACAGCACAGCTACCTCCTGCCAAGAACGTACGCACCGACAGAATTGACTTGTCCTTGAGCACGTCAACGATCGCGCGGGCAAGTTCGCTGACGCCAGCGCACGCATCACCACACTTGGCATCTGCTCCACCATTGCAAAAGCTGCAGCGCTTCTGCCTCGCTGTATTTACAGTACAGACTACGTCCCATTTGTCCATCCCGATTGCCAGCTCTAACTCAACAACACTAATTGCAGCAATCAGCTCTATCAGCACCCTCCCACTCCCACACTCACCAGTCGACACCTAAACCGCCATAGGTCCTCCGAGGAATCTTCTTGTCCATCGCACGAATCGCTCGCTGCGCCAAGACCGAGCAGCATTCGTCCGCGTAACCACCCATACGCTAACAGCCAGTAGGGTCACTACATTCTGCAGTCCAGTCCACTCAGTTGCGTGCGAGCATGGCACGTCATCTTCACAAAGTGCGCTCCGTTCCCGACGTCCACAACTTGTTTCTGTCTGCTGGGCTAGACACTCCAGACGATACGCGACGCCCAGATGATCAGTTTCGAAGTCGAAAAGGACCTCGCCATCGCCATCAGAACTCAGACGGGTTTTTATTAGACTCGCAGCGCGCCACATTTCACAATTTGCCTTCTAACAATCGCGACAGCTCCGCTCCTCTCTCTCCTGTTGACGAGCACAGTAGGCGCTCCGCAGGCGACAGTAACCATTCCCCCTTACCGCGATCGCCGCTCCTCGTTCAGGGCAAGCCTACCGGGCTTCCGCCGCGACGGCGGAACAGCTTCCACACGATCGCGGCGGCAGACCCGCGGAACCCCGCCGTCGCTCGCGCTTCAGCAGCGGCTGTATCCGCGGCGCGCGCCGGTACTAGTAACAGCAGCTCCCAGCACCGCGTGTTTTCATCGATTACTAATTCCTCCTCCTCCGACGACGACGACAACGACGACGCCGCGCCGCACGACATGTTCGACGGAGCAAGGACTTCGCAGAGAGCGGGTTACCCGCCGCGACAGTGCTACCCGCCAGCCGAGACGCGCGCTGAATCCACGAGCTACAACTACAAGCAGAGCGGCAATGCCGATGCGGCAGGAGAGCCGTTGAAAGAAGCCACAGAGGCTGTATTACGGTCCCGCGCGCAAGAGGTTCTGTCGGAGCGCCACGAGCTGGTGCAGCAGCTATCGTCGTTCCGCGTAACGGCGGCGTACCGGCAGAAGCGCGTGGAAGCGACCGTGAAAGAAGCGGATGTGCTTAAAACGAAATTGGCGGGAGGGGAGAAGCGGCTGGAGAGGGTTCGCGCGCAGCTTGACGCCACGCGCATCGCTCGAGACGCCGCGGCGCGGGAACTCGCGGTCCTTCGGCGGATCGCGCCCGCAACTTCGGATGCCACTAGCAGTGACGAGGAGTACAGCGAGGAGAGCGATGCGGCGTCGGATTCGGAGAGTGACTCCACGTCGGATAGGGGAGCCAGGTCGGGGGGAAGAGGCGGAATGCGCGGAGGGGCGGCGAAGTTGGCGGGGGATGCGGCGTGGCGGAGGACGGAGCTGCGGAACGTGCTGCAGGAAATGGCGCAAGCGCTGGAGAAGACCGAGAAGAGAGCGCGAAGCGCGTTGGCGAGAACGATGCAGTTAGAAGGTATGTAGTTCGAATGTGATTTCATGCGTCATTTCCGCGGATCGCCTCTCGTGTCACCTCCGCCGTCGCTCCCACCCCTCGCTTCCTCCGAGCCAGTCTATACACCCCTCGCTTCCTCCGCCGTCTTTCTACTTCCTCTTGTACCGCCTTTCCCTCGACGTCTCCCTAATTTCCCCCTCTGGTTTCTCTTTTTACCTTGCGGTTCCCCTTCCCCTCGCCAGGCTTGCTGGAGGACAGAAAGGAGGAGCTGGCGGAGGTGCGGAGCGAGCTGCGCACGGCGGAGGGGGAGCGGAACATGCTGGCGGACGAGCTGCAGGAAGCCTTCAACTCATGGGCGCAGCCGCGCGCGCCCGCAGGCAACGCAATGAGGATGTCAGGTGTGGCCTCCGCGCCGCTGCTGCTACAGCAGCTACAGGCGCAGCGCGCTACAGATAAACACGGGCTTGGAACGTGGATGGATGAGGGAAGGGGTGGTGGGGATTTCATGGGGAAAGGGAGGAGCAGAGAAACGGGTCGGATCAGCAGAAGCACGAGCAAGGAGGAGCTGGGGGCGCGGATGCGAGCACGGGGCCGAGCGGAGAGGCGAAAAGTGCAAGGGGGATGATGAGCGGAAGGGGGAGCGCAGAGGAGCTGGGTGGGTGGGCTCGCGCGTCGGCGCTACTGCTGGCGGGCCAGATGGAACCGCGCGTGCCTGGGTACCTGCGTTCATCGCTAAAGGTCCCTTGAAGCCCCTATGAGGACTCGGCATGTGGCCTGCAGCCATCTGCTCATACCTGCATCAAGTTTTTAGACAACATGGATTTTGACTTCGTGCACTGCTGCTGGCATCAGCCATGGCATGTGCACTCCGAATTACCCAGTTCCCGCGTACGCCCGTCCGCATTTGTACATACGGTAGTATGGTGTGCCGTCCGGGATAGAAATTCCGAGTCCCAGGCATTTTTTCCGTCATGTTGGTCTCATGCTAGCATTGACAAAGCAGGTAGATGGTGGAGTTCGAGCATCAGTTGCTTCGGTGCGGGCTTTGGACATGGACATCAGTTCCAACAAAGCTGATACTGAATAGAGGGAAGGTGGTTGTAGCTTATGAAGCTAGGTAGACGCCAACCAGTATCCCCACTTAAAACCAGGGTACACATTCAACGCGACTCCAGGCTAAATTTTGGGCGGCATGTTTGCGGGAACTGCTGATTGGTTGACGAGTAGCGAATAAATAGTTGAGAATGGGCGAGCATGGGGCTTTTCGTCCGTGAGAGATGAGGCTTGGCAGGGGAGAAATTGATAACACTTGGATCTAGAAATTGGGGATCAAGGGGAGGGCAACTGGGTTGGCAGAAAGGGGAAAGGGGGTGAGACGATATTGTGGGGGAAGGGGAAACAATTTCGGTGGGAGCGGAATAGGTATGGGGAGGGGGGAAACGAATTGGCGGAAGCACATTCGATGACTTCGGTTTACATTTGCCAAATCTCGAGGGTTCAAATGTTCACCTGCTGAAGCGAACACTCCCCCCAGATATTCCTAAACCACTGAGTAACCCCGAGGTCAAAGGTTAACCTTTGACAGAAATCCAATTGAATGTGCACCCTGGTTTTAAAGTAGGGATTATACCCCCCCTCACAGCATCATAACAGCATTATGAAAGCAGAATGTGGGATGCAACGTCTGAGATATAAATTATCTACTTAGTACATTGTATTTGCTGGAAGCTGGTGTGTCATGACGGCCAGCTCGAGTCGCAGGTATTGACGGCGACAGCTTGCGATTCGTGAATACAGGGTCACATCACACCACATGACACACGTGGACTGCCTTCAGCGCGTCTTCCGCTGTAGGGACATTTTGTGGTCCCAGATGAAGCCAGCTGGCTAACTTGGATATTGCTGTTTGGGTGATCCAATCTTGTTCGGGATTCAATGGGGAGCCTCGTCATCAGTAATGTCGTCCACCTCAGAGCCTGTCATAGCCATACACACGTTGAGAAAGAGGGGAAGAACAACACACACGTTGGTGAAACCACCGAATTTGCGAATTCGGGATTTTCTGTTGGCGATGTTGACGAAAAACAGCTTGCCAATTTCGTGCAGGCATGACAGAGGCGCACTTTGTGATCCGCGAAGCACGGTGAGGACGGCTGGTCCGCGTCTGGGAGTCGCCTCAAATCTCAAGCCTTGACAGCCTGGTAGGGCAGCTCCGGTTCACCTCATTGGTTTGGTTCCGATTGGACACGTCATGAACCGCGTCTTGGGAAAATCCTTACTGTGGAGGACAAGTGCTTCTTGCTGGGGGATTTGCTGGCATTTGGCTTGCATTTGCGGCGCGAGATTACAGTGCAGAGCGCTCACCACCGTCTCCTCGCTCTCTCATCTCAACCCCCCCAATGTCACCACCAGAAATAAGCTGTACACGTACATTTACAACTCATCCGTAGGAGCATCCACCACGAGTCACGGAAGGTCAAGCGAGGATTTCTGTTGTTGAAGGCCTATCTTATCCGTCCCAAGATTTCGACTAGAGCAGCCTTTCGTAAGAAATCCCCTTCATCCTGAAAGCCTCGCCATCCACCGTCTCGAAGAGCAAAATTTGCAGTCACACACATCCTACTCGTCCAGAAATTAAGATCGTTCCACAAGACCTAGCGTATTTTAAGTACTACTACTTCAAGCCCGACATCCCGTACGGTACGGCAGATGCTACACAGAAAGCGACCAGCTGGTGTTCGTCGTGAGAAGCGGGCTGCAATGTCGTGCGTAACAAATGATAAGATTCGTAGTACTGTGACTCGTCCTTCAGGCGGCGAATGCGAGCGACCGTGCTTTCAGCTTCCCGTTCGCGGCGACATGCGCGCCCCATACTCACCCCGCGCTCATCATACGCGCGCGGAATATGTCGTGGGTTATTGCGCAGGAAGACTTCCGCCATCGCCCTGCTCTCCCCCGGATCCCTCCCCCAGGTCACACTTTAGACACGCCCGCGAGCCCGTCCTTCGCCGCGCGACAGAGGCAGCGCGCTCCCCGCAGAGCTGCGGAATCTCGTCTCCCGTAAATCGCGCACCAGCTCGCTGCTTTCAGTCTGGCGACAGTCCCTTCGACGAGGATGATGCGACGGAGTGAGCGGGATCGGTGCTAACGCCCCGGCGGGGTCCTCAAATCAGACAGAAAGCGCGGGCGAGCTTGGACATGGCCGCGGTGGTCACCACGTGCCATTCCGCTGGCATGATGCGTAGGAGCAGCAGCACTACTACCAGCAGCGGCAGCAGCCGCAGCAGCTGTGGCAACGGCCATGGTGGCAGCGGAAGCCGCAGGAACAGCCACCCGCCGCGTCGCAACAGTTACTGCGAAGAATATCGACGGCCGAGTGGTAACCAGTCGCCAAGTGGCGTTTGTAACCCGATGTCAACACCATGGCCCGGAGGCGGTGCGCGAATGAGGCTTTCGCGATCAGCCGCAGACCTTGCCACGTTGAGTGCCCTCGCGGAGCGCGAGGAGACCGGGGCGGCAGAGGATATTTTGAAACTTAGCCCTCAATGTGCAGGGCGCGCAACGAGTCGCACAGGCGGCGGCAAAGCCGTCGGAAATGCGGGCGGCGGCAACGATGTGATGCCGATGCTGTTGCCGCGCGAAACAACCCGACGAAAAGCGCAAGAACCTATCGTCAGAACGCCCTTCCGGAGCGAGGAGAGTGACTGGAGTGAGGATGAGGTGTATCGAACTTCGTCCTGTCGAAGCTCTTATCGAAGCTCGTCCGATCGAACCGTCGACGCGTCGTCCTATCACCGGGCACGTGGACTATTCGACATGCTCTCCGACTCCAATGCCGAATCAAGCGCGCATGTCAACCCACGCGGAACAGGTTCCGTGACTGGGGTGGGAGGACCGCGCGAAGTGCGCGACGGGCGAAAAATGCGCCTCAGCCTGAGTGATTCTGTCGACGAACATCCCGCCAGCGCCAATCATTCCAGCACGTCACGCGGCGCCTGCAGCCGCCGCGCATCCACGTGGTCCGCAGCGGAGAAGAAGAAAAACCGGTTGCGGGTAGTCGCCGCGGCGGCCAGCGCCGCTGCCCCTGTTTTGCTGGTGGAGGGCGGGAGAACGCGCGAGGCGCGCGCGGCGGGGTGCTTAGACGCGTTGATTTGCTTGAAGAGCGCGCAAATTGACTCGGTGAGGCGGGAACGCGCGGGACTGAGCGCACAACTGGCGGAAGGGTTGAGGCGGGTGCTGAGCATGGAAACGGGGATGGCGGAGAGACGACTCACTATCGAGAGCCTTGTTTCACGAATATCAGAGAAACGGGATATGAAACGTAGAGGCGGGACGACAGACGGCGGGAAGGGTGTGATGGGGGAGGCGATCGAGAGGGAGGGCGCGGAAGATGGCATGGAAATCCTAGATAATGATGAAGACGAAGATATGCTGGACGATGTGGGGTGTGATGGGGTTAGGAGCAGTGTGAAGGAGTTAAGAGCGGTGCTACAGTTTGAGATACGCGCGATGATGGCTGACATGAGACGCCTGGAGCTCGCCGTCCTTCACACGCAGTACCGAAGCAGCGAGATTCGACGTGAGTGTGTGTGGGGTGTTTCCTTTTCGTCAAGCCAATTCGCCATGCTTGTGTCTCTGAAGTTTGCCTGCGTCTTTCAGGCTGAAAAGGCTGATTTTCCTCGCACATTTCCATCCATCTGACTCCATCGCAGGTGAGTTGCGGCGCAAATCGGCGGAGCTGGATAGCATGAGAGAGGTGAGGGGGCAGCTGGTGCGGCGGAAAGACATGCTGGGGCAGCAGCAGCTGCTGCTTCCAGCAGGCTAGAGTGAGAAAGCTGACGGGAGAAGGTATATTTGGCAGTAGAAATGTGTAAAATACGTATACTGGAGTGGGAAACTGAGCGCAAGTATTACCATTCTCTCTCGGGTATTGATATGCTAATTTTCGTGATATCAACTCAACACGTGCTTTCAGTGCCAGAATTGAGAAATGAGAGATTCCTTGCTGTAAGGAAATTACCGTAATGCGAACTGTAGGAAATTGTGCATTCGCGTACAGATGGATTGCACATTTGGCATCCTGCCGCATGGCAATTCTCGCGCACTGCTGTCGCCGCACCGCCGCCAACTGCGCAGTCTGAAACAGTTATCCTAGGCGCACGCATTCTGCTTTCGCCTAAATTGATCGCCCGACTCCTCCTTTGCGACCTTGCCTTGCTAGTCCTATCCGTGGTCGCTTTCTGTTGCTTTGTATTGCTGTGGCGTCTCGCACGTAGTGCCTCCGCGCTCTTACGCTTAGTGCGCCACGCTCTCTCCGAGCACCATCTCAAGTCGCAATGACTCCCCCTAAGTCGCACATATTCGACGAGGCCGCGATGCCGCGTGGGCCGGCGAATTACGCGCCGCTAACCCCGCTAACCTTCCTCGAGCGGGCGGCGCGGGTGCATCCCGACTCGCCGTCCGTGATCTACGGCCGGCGGCGCTTCACGTGGGCGCAAACCTTCCTCCGCTGCTGCCAGCTCGCCGCGGCGCTGGAGCGCGCGTGCGCGCGGAGATACGAGCGCGTGGCGGTGCTTGCGCCGAACGTGCCCGCGGCGTACGAGGCGCAGTTCGGCGTGCCGCTCGCGGGCGCCGTGCTCGTGTCCGTAAACGCGCGCCTCGACGCCGCGTCCGTCGCGCGCATTCTCGCGCACAGCGATAGCAAGGTGTGCCATGTGGTGCCTAGCGGTTTGAATGCGAAAATGCCCTCACCCTGCTCCCTCTGCTCCCTCTGCGCCCTCTGTGCTTCCTTGTGCTCACTTCTCTCTCTGCTCTCGCTGCTCCACCCAAGACTCCTCTCTCTGCCCCACCCAAGACTCCTCTTCCTCTTCATTTTCCCCCGATCCCCCCTCTCCCTCCCCCTGTTATAACACTCATCACTCTTCATCTCTTGTGTTTCCACTCACCCTCCTGGCCTTTCCCTTGTCGTCCCTGTTGCAGATTCTCCTGGTGGATCAACACTTGGCATCTCTTGCTCTCTCCGCACTCTCCCTCCTCCCCACCGCCACATCACCCACCCACACAACCCACGTCCGTCCAAAGATCGTGCTTATAGTGGACGACGAGGTGCACTCGTCTGCTGACATGGCAGATCCGGGCGGCGAGCAGGCGGATACAGAGGGGTTGGGAGCGGTGGGGGAGTATGAGGAGTGGATAACAGCTGTGCCATGCATTGGGCCTGTGTCTGGTTCCCAACTTGCAACTGCCCTGGCTGCTGCTGCCACTGCTGGTGCTGGTGATGCTGCTGCTGGTGGGGATGCTTTTGGTGTAGATCGCTCAGGTAATGCCGATACTGCTTATAGTACCGATCCCTTTGTTTCACGCCCCCAATTGCTCCCTCTCGTCGCTGACGTGGCGAATTCCGACTGGTGGGCATCCCACCAACCACGAGACGAGCAGGACCCCATAGCCATCAACTACACCTCAGGCACCACGTCAGCACAGCCCAAGGGGGTTATCTACTCCCACCGCGGCGCTTACCTAAACGCGCTAAGTGCCGCGCTTATGGTGCAACTACGCACGCACGCGGTTTTCCTGCTCTCCGTCCCTCTTTTTCACTGCAACGCATGGTGCTTCTGCTGGTCTCTCCCGGCTGTCTCCGGCACGGGTGTGCTTATAAGGAATGTGAGTGCCCGTGCGATTTTTGCGGCGGTGGCGGAGAGAGGGGTGGAGGTGATGGTGGGGGTGCCGGTGGTGCTGAATCTGATGGTGAATGCTGATGAGGAGGATAAGGCGTTGCTGGGAGCGAGACGAGGAGGGAACGGAGAGGAAAGAGGGGAGGTGGAGCAGATAGGGTGGGGTAACGATGAGCAACTGCATAGGGTAACCAGCAGGGGAAAGTATTCCAAGAGGGTTACGGTACTGACAGGCGGTGCCCCTCCCCCAGCAGCCATTTTGGCTCAAATGGAGCAGCTAGGCTTCGACGTTATCCACTCCTATGGATTAACTGAGACCTACGGGCCGGCAATGTTCTGTGACTGGAAACCCCACTGGGACTCCCTTCCCCTGACCGACCGCGCGAGAATCAAATCTCGGCAGGGCGTGCGGCACATCGGGCTGCAGGCTGCTACAGTGATTGATAACAGGACGCTGCGGCCGGTTCCTATGGATGGTGTGACTATAGGCGAGGTGGTGTTTAGGGGGAACACAGTCATGCGGGGGTATTTAAATGCGAGGGAAGAAACAGCTGCTGCGTTTGCGGGTGGGTGGTTTCACTCAGGGGATCTGGCCGTGGTGCATCCAGATGGGTATGTAGAGATTAAAGACCGTTCTAAGGATATAATAATTTCTGGCGGGGAGAATATTAGCAGTATTGCAGTGGAGGGGGTGCTGTACCGGCATGCTGCAGTGATGGAAGCAGCTGTTGTGGCTAGACCTGATGATAAGTGGGGGGAAACTCCCTGTTCCTTTGTGGGCCTCAAACCTGGTTACACTGTTACCACCACAGCTACAACTGGCCGTGCAACTGATGCTGCGACTGCAGGAGGGGTTGGGCAGGTGGAAAGTGAGCAGGCTGGATCTGGGCAGGTGGTATCTGAGGAGGATATCATCCTGTTTTGCCGGGAGCATCTGCCACACTTTATGGCGCCCAAGAGTGTTGTTTTCGGCCCGCTGCCCAAGACTGCTACGGGCAAGATCCAAAAGTTTCTTCTACGGGAGCGAGCAAAGCAGCTGGGTTCGCTACCGTGGCAGGGGCACAGGAGCAAGCTGTGAGAATCAAATAATAATACAACCCAATGTTGGCAACACATCAATATTACTTGTTAGGCCTAATGGCATGTTGTGTCAAGTTGTATCCCATTGTTACGCCTGCCATGTACGTGTTTGCATGAGTACGACAAATAATGTCCTATCAGACTCACTTATCAGGCACACTGGAAAGTGGCCAGATGACTGCCAATGCTGGTGATTATGTCGACCGTCCCCCCTCTCCCCGCCACTGCCACAAGCTGCCGAGAGAAGATAAGGCAAACCAGGGTTGAGAGGGAGTGAGGGAGGAGCGTTGAAGATAGGCCAACGCGCACAGGGAAGAGTGAGGAGGGGAAGATTGAGGAGTGAGAGAGTGAGGAGTGAGAAAGCGCAATTGGAGAGGTGAAAGGGAGGAGGCAGTCAGAGAGATTAAACGAGCAACAAACGGCAGACGCAACTCGCAAGCATAGTAACAACAGGGATTTCACATTCCTAAGAGCGAGACGTTCCTAGAAATAGAGTGTTATCGTAAAACGGTGTCACCATCTGGAAGGGTGCTTCCAGCGAAGGTGTTACCTGGGACGGCGCATGTGAATGGAGGGAGTACACGGATGGCGTGGCTGTGGCAGTTAGTGACTTGAGCTGGCCGGCAAAAGTCAACCGAGTCAACACAGAGCTGGCTCCCGCCACTAGTATCTGATATTCAGGAGACAAAGAGTAGGTGAGAAGGGGATGCGGAGCAGATGAGATTAAGGAAATGGTTGATATGATAGAAGTGCAGAAGTAGGTGGTAAGGCAACACATGGAGACATTGGGAAAGAGCCCAGCCCATCGCCCTCCATGCCTCCCCCACCACTTGTCGCTTGCTCAGCCATGCTTCTCACATCCTTCGCACATGCCTCACCCATGGCTAGTCGGGTTAAAATCGCTGCTGCGACTTGCGTAACGTTCAGTTTGTCGCTTAAACAAAAGATTTGAATACATTCAAGTGCCATCCCCTTTGCATAATCAGGACCTCCAAACGTAAACACCCTCCTTTGCGCTTAACGAGTGGCGAAATTACACTAGCCTGTACCGTCACCGCCCTCCCATCGACGCCAACACCCTCCCCATGCCTCACCTTATCTGCATCTCTCCCCATGGCCATGGCATGCACCGGTGCTCCCAGAGACACATGCAGCAGCACAGGCGCGGATGCCTGCAGGAAATGTGCGCCACCACTCACCCATCACTCTCAGTGCCTCGCCCATGCCTCACCTCATCTGCGTCTCTCTCCATGGCCACAGCATGCACTGGTGCGGCCAGAAACACGTGCAGCAGAGCTTTATGACTGGGCACAACTACAGCCACCATGCTCCACCCATCTCTCACCTCATCCGCGTCTCTCCCCATGGCCACAGCATGCACTGGTGCGCCCCGAGAAACGTGCAGCAAAACAGAGGCGGGTGCCTGCAGGGAATGTGTGGCACCACTCGCCCATCACTGTTTGATGCCTCAACCATGCCCCCGCCATGCCTCTCTCTCACCTCATCTGCGTCTCTCCCCATGGCCACAGCATGCACCGGTGCGCCCAGAGACACACGCAGCAGAGGCGGGTGCCTACAGGGCATGTGCGCCACCACTCACCTATCACTCTTAGTGCCTCGACTCGGTCATGCCTACCCCATCTCTCACCTCATCCGCATCTCTCCCCATGGCCACGGCATGCACTGGTGCGTCCAGAGACACGTGCAGCAGCGCAGAGGCGAAGGCCTGCAGGGAATGTGCGCCACCACTCACCCATCACTCTTAGTGCCTTGGCTCAGTCATGCCTCCCTCATGTCTCTCTCTCACCTCATCTGCATCTCTCCCCATGGCCACGGCATGCACTGGTGCGCCCAGAGACACGTGCAGCAGCGCAGAGGCGGGTGCCTGCAGAGAGAAGAGAGACGCCGTGCCACCGCCCGTGCCACACAGCTGTGGGCGGCAGAGGAGAGAGGGGGCGAGGATCGGGCGGCAAGGCCGGCAGCAGAGGAAGGGGGAGGAAGGGAGAGAAAGGAAAGGAGGGAGGGGGGAAGGCGGATGGAGGGAAGGGATGACGATAACAGGTGCATAAGGGAGATGAGGAGGTGAAGAAATTAGTGTGAGTCGACTACGAAGAGCACTTGGTTACAAGATGAGAGAGTGTGAGAGATGAGAGATGTGCAAGAAATGCGAGAGAGGAGGAATTAGAGAGATGAGAGAGATGAGGGAGACGAGGAGATGAGGGAGATGAGAGGGGTGAGAGTGATGACTCGCCAGCCATGGAGCGGTGGAGTCAGTTGCTACACTGCTGATTCAAGGCGAGGAGGGAGAGGAGGAGGAGGAGGAGGAGGAGGTGGGGGAGAGGGGTGCTTTTGAGGCGACTCAAAAGGACTCACCAGCCATGGAGCAGTGGAGTCAGTTGCCACACTGCTGACCCACGGCGAGGAAGAAGAGGAGGGGGGAGAAGTTGGGGAGGAAATGAAGAATTGAGAAGATGAAGAGATGAGGGGAAGAACTCACCAGCCATGGAGCAGTGGAGTCAGTTGCTACACTGCTGACCCACGGCAAGGAGGGGGAGGAGGAAGACGAGGGGGAGAGGGGTGCTTGGCGCGCAGTGAAGGGGTTGAGACACAGCACTGCGGCGGCTGTGCGGCAATCTGGTGAGTGGGGTGGGAGGGATGAGAGGAGGGGTGAGAGGAGAGCTTGAGAGGATGGTGAGGATGAGTGGGGAAGACTGGGGGATGAGAAGATAGGGGGATGAGGGGCCACTAGGAGGAAGGGTTACGTATTGAATTGGCTGCAAAGTTGACTATGAAAGGATATTTGAGGGAGAAAAATAATTGGTAGAGGTCCGGCCGCCCGGCAGGTAGGAGGGTCAGGGAAAAGGAGCGGTGAGGGATGTTGATTCAAAAACTTGCCAAGAACTCCAATTTCATGCCCACCATCCCATGCACATGCCCATGCCCATGCCCATGCCCATGCCCATGCCCATGCCCATGCCCATGCCCATGCCCATTCCTCATACCCATACCCATGTCCACATGAATGTCAGTTGGTTCAAACTCACGCTCATGCCTGCACCACATATGTGCATGCACCAACCCATCCCACTACATCACAGCATGCCACCCCACCCAACAGCCTCACCCACCCCATACTCGGCACGTGCCATCCTCCGATCCTGTCACTATCTGAGCGCACACACGAGGTGAGGGGGGAAGGGGGAGGGGAGAGGGGAGAGGGCGGGGGGAAGGGGGAGGGGAGAGGAGAGAGGGCGGGGGGAAGGGGGAGGGGAGAGGAGAGAGGGCGGGGGGAAGGGGGAGGGGAGAGGGGAGAGGGCGGGGGGAAGGGGGAGGGGAGAGGGGAGAGGGCGACTTTTGAGTCGACTCAAAAGTCAATCCTGCAGCCCCACCCACCCCATACTCGGCACGTGCCATCCTCCGACCCTGTCACTATCTGCACAGCCAGGCAAGGGCGAGCGGGAGGGAGAGTGGAGAGGAAGAAGAAGGGAGGATGGAAGGGCGTGAGGGGCGGAAGGTTGGGGGGGGGAAGGGAAGGAGTTGGGAGAGTGTACAAGAGGAGGAGGGGCGGAGGGAGGCCACCTCGTTGACTTTTGAGTCGACTCAACAAGTTGACTTTTGAGTCGACTCAAAAGTCAACTCGGAAGGGAAGGAGTTGGGAGAGTGTACAAGAGGAGGAGGGGCGGAGGGAGGACACCTGGTTGTCTTCTCCCCAGGCCAGCTCTGCTGTTCACGCCTGACGGTGCTTACATTCACTGGCTCTGTTGTTCTCGCCTGGCGGGGAGTACATTCACCTGGCTCTGTTGTTCTCGCCTGACGGTGCTTACATTCACCTGGCTCTGTTGTTCTCGCCTGACGGTGCTTACATTCACCTGGCTCTGTTGTTCTCGCCTGACGGGGAGTACATTCACCTGGCTCTGTTGTTCTCGCCTGGCGGGGAGTACATTCACCTGGCTCTGTTGTTCTCGCCTGGCGGGGAGTACATTCACCTGGCTCTGTTGTTCTCGCCTGGCGGGGAGTACATTCACCTGGCACTGTTGTTCTCACCTGATTGTGCTGCGGCCGTGCCACCACACAGTGCAGGTAGTCTGAATGGCCCCTGAACTCAGCTACCTGCTTATGAGTCTCCTGAAGAACCACATGAGAGGGAGCGCAGGTGAGAAAAAGCGAGGCAAGTGTGTGTGAGTGGAGGAGAGAAAGGGGAAGGAACAAATATGCGCGCAGGAACAAACTAAAACACCAAATGATCTTAGCACTTTAAGCACTCAGCTACCTTTTCAGGCTCCCAGAAGCATCTACTGATCCACCAAATCCCAAGCACACCCTCCATGGCCTGCACATGCATGGCTTCATATCCGCCACAAGACCTGCACTGACATGCATGGCAGTCTATCTATCCACCCACCACGTCCCATGCATATGCACACCCGTTGCCTGTTGCGCTGTAAATGACGTTTCTCTGCGGGGCAGAGCAGGGGTGGGGGGGGGGGGGGGCAAGGGAGCGGGTGGGTGGATGGATGAGTAGAGCATTGAGATGAGATGCATAGGCGAAATGAACAGGCGGTGAAATGCAGAGAGGGAAGAGATGTGTTACGTGGCGTCAGTGTGCGTCCATGCACCACACACACGCACCCTCGCCAACCCCCTCCACCCACCAACATCCACACACACCCACCCACCAAACACACCCACCCACCCACAGACCCACCCACACGCACACACACACACACACACACACACACGCACACACACGCACACACACACACACACACACACACACTCACCTGCTCGTCAACATCAATGGCGTTTGTCTCCGGCACCACTGCCACGCCTCTTGCAGCAGCCCACGTGGTGGGGGGGTTGACCAGGTCAACGCACGGGGCCACCTGGGGGGCTGGGCGGAAAAGGGGGTGGAGTGGGGCGAGTTGGGGGCGGAGCAGGGGAGGGTTGGGTTGACCAGGTCAACGCAGGTGTGGACCTTTTACCAGACACAGTGAGTACGTTGAACAGGCACGTGACGCCCTGATGGAAAAATGCGGTTCTGGACACAGGAACAATGGCATCTTGACTAGCATGTATATCTAGAGAGTAGTGAGCTGTAAAGAATAGAATCTGGAATAGCATGTATATCTTGTAAATTTTTTAACTTCTTGATACCACGCTGTAACAAGGCCGCGGAGGAGCCGGCTAGCTGAGTGGTCGACTCACCTTGAGCTGCATGGTGGGCAGGAGTGGATGTGAGAAGGTCGCCCCACCGCCACCCTGCAACGCGGCCGTCGTCCCCACAACTGCCCACGTCAGTCAGCATAAACAAGCCATCAGCACTAACTAACAAGCCACGTGCACTCGCCACGCCACAAGTTCAGCTGTAACCCTAGAAGATAGAAACAAGGCTGGAAGACAGGAGAATAAGCTCCATCTATTCTGCTGCAGGCATGGGAGTTGGAGGCTAGATCCCTCCCCCCCCCACCTGAACAGCAGCGGCTGTTCCCCCATGGCGCATGTCTTGAGTCCGAACGCCGCCCCCCTGTGCGCCTGCACCGCTGCTGCGGGCTGCGCCTCCCCCAACCGCCGCGCCCCCTCCCCCGCTTGCCCCCAAGGCCCGCCGCCGCCCTCCCCTGGAGCACGCGCGCACTGGCCATGCGCGGGGAAGAGGGGGGCGGGAAGAGGGGAGGAGAAAGAGTTGGGGATGACTAAATGAAGAGGGGAAGGTGGAGGGGATGGATTGGGGACAGGGGAAGCGGGGGTTTGGACACACGTGAAAGGCGCGGCGGAAAGGGTTGAGGGCAGAAGAAAATGAGGAAGAATTTGTTTTCTCCCTTGGATAGGTAAGAGGTCTCCCTCCGCCAATCCGGAAAATTAAGTACCTGCGAGGCGACTAACGAGGCCAGGGAGTGAACGGATACGCGACCGCTGCTCGAAGCGCATGCGACAAACCGCGGCGCTGCTGATGTGGACGGCCACGTTTCGTTCCCCAGCTCTCTAGGGGACATGTTGACGTGGTCGCCCGGAACGTGCAGCGCCGCGTAGATCACGCTCCCGGCTAGCTTCTGCTCGCGCAAAACGCGCTCGGCGTAAGCCGAAGCGTCGTAATTACGACAATCCATGGCGGATGGAGGAGCAGCGAGTGCGGTTCGCTGATTCGAGCTAGCCGTTGGCTGATCGCCATGAACTCCAAACGGCGAATGCGGCACTCGTGCTTCGGCATCGTCTGCGGACCATGCAACCCGGTCCTTAAGTACGTCTTCATCTCGCCAGTCCTCTCCGTAGTCCACGGCGTCCAAATCCATGGTCCCTCGAGTGCCTCGCCATTCTGGTGGTGTCTTGAGGTGATGAGCGATGAGTTATAATCCTCTGACTGATAACGCGTTGTCGGTCAGAATTTCGTACCCGCGTGGCCTAATGGATAAGGCATCTGACTTCTAATCAGAGGATTGTGGGTTCGAGTCCCATCGTGGGTGCACATTTTCTTGCTGAGATGGTGCAAGGGAAAATTTGGGAATTACACCTGTCTTGAGGGTTACACCTCTTTTGACCTACCGTATTACCCCGGATAGTAGCGCATATGCGCTTATAATAAAATCAGTTTTCCAAGGGGGGCGCTTGTAATTGAGTAACGGGCATAAGCGCATGCGCTTATGAGACGGGAAAATGAAATTTATTTTTAAAGGCACCAAATCGAAGCTCTCCTTAAGGTGAACACAGCCGAACGTTCGTTCACGTGGGATCGTGCATGGAATTCAGGGGAAATCAACCGCGACTCGGTTTCCCACCACACATTCACGTCCAGAAGCAGCGCACCTGCCTTTGCTGACTCGCACCCTGCCGTGCGGCCCAATCGCAATGTCATGCGCCTCATGGCAGTCGATTCCACCCGAATCCTCTAGAAGGGGGTGGAATCTTTCCTGCCAGCGCTGACGCAAATCCTGCCGTGCGGTCCAATCACAGCGGGATGCGTTGCCATGCAGGCAAATTCCACCCGAATCCACTAGAAGGTGGTGGAATCTACCATGGCAACGCAGCGTCGTGCACGCCACGCAAGTTCCTCGACGAGTCTAGGCGGGGGTTTCCCGTCGGTCATCGACGAGGACCCCGTGGCGCCTTGGCGAAGGGGTCCCTCCCAAGTGCATTTCATTCCTCATTCTTGCTCGTTCTGATTCGGTTTTCCTTCCTCTCCCGCCGGGCTGCTTCAGCCATGGCGGAATTCACTGGCACTCATTTTCTCTTCAAGAAGAAGCCTAGTAGGCCCGCGTTTACCGTTACCGCTGACGGATGGTACTGCCGTGCCCCACCATCGCCTCCCGACCCACCACATCCTCCTGCGCCTCCTGTTCCCCCTAATCCTCCCGTTCCTCCGTCGCCTCCCGCACCTCCTGCTCCTCCTGCTCCTCCTTTAGAAACCTTGGGCAACTGGCCCGTGCTCCAGCTTTGCCCTTATCTCCCGAAGACCTTTAACGAGTGGCTGGAAGAACCTATCGCGGACAAGCCTCAAGATGAGTCCACGGAGGCTCCCGCGTCGGCTCCACGCTGGGGCGAGCCAGAAGACTGCGCGTGGGATGAATCCGCCGTGGGCGCTGACGACGATGTGCATGCCGAGAGCGCGGAGGGCGACAAGGGCGCCGAGGCTGACGACGAGACCGGCACAGAGACTGGCACCGGGGCGGGCACCGCGGCGGGCACCGAGGCAGATGTGTATCCCGAGGGTGCCATGGGCGGCGACGACGACGACGGTGTCGAATACTGGTCGCGCGATGGCCTTCCTGAAAAGTTGCCGATACCGTCTTATCCACCGATTAACCGCAAGCGTCCCCACCCTTCTTCAAAGAACCGTGATGCCCGCCCCCCCTCTCCCAGGCACAAGATGTCGCAGCACAAGCGAAAGGGTTACACAGCTCAGAAAAAATTGAAGTGGCTCGCGCTGCTGGAGGTGGCAGTTTCCGTGCGCTCTCTATCTCGTGAGTCTGGCATCCATCGGAAGTGCTTGACGCAGTGGAAGAAGGAGGCGGCCGCCCTGAAAGATGCTCACGGCGCACGGATGCGGATGCACGGTCGCGGCCGAGCGTCTTGGTACAGGCCTATGGAGCTAAAGGTCTATGCGAGGCTTCTGGAGTGGCGGCGCAAGGGATGCGCCGTCTCCGTTGGTCGTCTGCAGGAGTGGTCGAAGGAATTCATGAAGATTCTCTACCCCGACGTCAAGTGGAAGGGCAGTCAGAGGTGGTCGGACCGTTTTCGGCGCCGCTGGAATTTGAGCGTTCGCATGAAGACGAAGGTAGCACAAAAAACCGCCGAACGTAAGTGCCTCCCTTCGTTTTAGTAACTTTTATTATGCGTCTTCCTTGATGTTTTTACGGTTACCAGTGATCTTATATCCCTACCGCCTCTCCCCCCCCCCCCCCCTCTCTACCTCTGTCTGACAGGTGTCGCGGAGCAGTGCACTAAGTTCTGGGAGTTCGTCCGCAACAACCGTCGTGAGCGCGGCATCGAAACGACCTGGATTATCAACGCCGACCAGACGCCGCTGTGGCTTGAGATGCCAGCCACCACCACCGTGGAGCAAACGGGAGTTCGCTCGGTGCCCATCAGGAGCGCTGGTTACCAGAAGCAGCGCGTCACCGTGATGCTGGCGTGCACGGCTGACGGTGTGAAGCTGAAGCCATGGGTGTACTTCAAGCGCAAGACGGTCCCGAAGGGGGATTTCCCGCCAGGTAAGACAAGCTTGGCATTTAACCTTGCTTTGTCATGCGACAGAGGCATGTTTAACTTGGACCCTTTGTTGCGTGCGCAGATGTGGTGGTGGGGTGCCAAGACAACGGCTGGATGGTCGCCGACGGCGTTCTGGCGTGGCTTGACGGGTGTATCAAGCCTTTCATAAGGCCCCGGTTCGGCAGGCAGGCGAAGAGCGCGATGCTCGTTCTGGATTCGTACCGCGGGCATCTCACGGACGAGGTGAAGGCGAAGCTTGCGGAGCTCAACATCGTCCCCGCGGTCATCCCGGCAGGCTGTACATCGGAGGTACAGCCTCTCGACGTGTCGGTCAACAAAAGTTTCAAGGCCTCCGTCCGCGAGCAGTACCAGACCTGGTTTGAGGAGGAAGGCTTGGAAAGGCTGACAAAAGCAGGTATGGGCCGAATTGTTTAACGTCCACACGAGTCAAATTCTTCCCGTCTCTTTGTTGCGCTAATCTCCCCTCTGATCGTCATGTGGTGCAGGGAACATCAAAAAGCCGCCTGCAGAGGTGGTCCTCAGGTGGATCTCCCGGGCATGGAGGGCAGTCCCTGCAGATCTGATCAAGAAGGCGTTCCTCACATGCGGGATTAGCAACGCGCTAGAGGGAGCGAGGACAAGCTCGCCATGGCGCACAGAAGGGGCCAGCTGTCGCACGAGGTGGACGTAGACGACGCCATCACGGCCGACGGATTCTGGGGCAACAACTGCCCGGAGCCAGAGTCAGACGAAGAGGAGTACTGCTAACGGTAGAAATGCTAGAGTTGTACCGGTAGGTTCATGCTGGCAGGAGCTAGACTTGTTGCTACCATCTAAAAAGCGAGATTCAATAATCTGAATGTTAGATTGAGTAGATTGACTGCGACAGTAGAATGTTTGTCGAAGAGATGATATAAAATGCAAGAAAAAAAACTACAGAACTAAAGGGGGTGGCGCTTATAATAAGTACAGGATTCTCAAGGGGTGCGCTTCTAATCGAAGTGCCGCCATAAGCGCATGGCTCCAGATAGAAGCGCCGGCGCCCTTAAACGGACGGCGCTTATATCCGGGGTGATACGGTATCTCAGGGAAACTCGAATTTCCAAGCATCCTTTATCTGTAGGTCTGCATCACCATAGGTTCTTCTTCCTTCCTTTCTAAATTTGATCTCATTATCCGGTAATGCTCACAAGACCCCCAGGCATGTTGAGGTACATGCATCCAAAAGTAATCAGTATGTTCTTAAGCCCTGGCTCAAGGGCGTGGAATGAGTACAAGGAACACAAAACCCTCTTTTCCCTACTACAGTCTCTACCTCTAACTAAACCAACTCATGTGAAGATGGTAACCACATCCCGGCGGTAACCACGGACCATAAGCAAGCGCGGAATGTTGTTGACAAGCAGATCCATGTACTCCATGTAGCAATAAGGGGGATGGTTCTGAGGGGGCGGCGGGAGACTGACGAGCACCACAGCAGCCATGCGAGAGTACCGCAGTATAATGGAGTTGAGCTTGATTGTGGTGTAGAGGAACTTATTCACCTTGCTCTCGTCCAGCAGCGAGTGGTGTGTCTCAGCCTCGGGATCCTCGCTCATTCTCTGGGCTATGTTGCGCCGCGCCTGGGGGTGGGGTTGGGTTGCGGTGGGGCAGGAGGTGGGGTAGGAAGGGATGGGATGGAATGGGATGAAGATTTGAGTGTGAAAAATGAATCCAGGGCCGGAGCTGGAGCATAGACGTGTGCCCACACCATCATTACCACCCCTAGCCACTCAACACCAGCCACCGTATCGAACATCCCCACGATGCCTTGCCTAACCAGTTCAACCTCCAACCACTTCAACCTACGACACACATCCGGCCACACATTCAGGATCATCACTAAAGCATGCACCACCCATTAGCAGGACTGTGAATGTACAGGTGAACGTGCAGTGGTGCGTGGGGGCACCACTGCAGCGCCACGCACCCGCATGAGTGCTTGTCCAAACCCCCACTCAGTGCTTGTACTTAGGGTTTGTATCTGTGAGCATTCCCATAGCCAATCCTGCATGGCACACTGCTCCCACTCACCCGAGTGAAGGCCTCCATGGCGCCTTGTCGGGCGAGCTCTGCCTCAGCGCCCTCAGCATCGGACACCACGTCCTCCCAGGCCTTCATGGTGACGACGATGACGTCTGCCTGCATGCGCAGGTCGTACAGGAACTTGCTCACGTCCAGCTTCAGGTTCTCCGCTCCCGTGTCCTCCTCTGCAATGCAGAACACCTGCAGGGGTGCAGAGGAGGGCAGAGGAGTGCAGGGGCAGTAGGGGTGGAATGGGAGAAAAGGTTAGTGGTTCTACAGACACAAGCAGCACATGGGAAGATTCATTCCACCACTTGCTCACGTACAGCTTCAGGTTCTCCGTGTCCGCATCCACCTCCGCGATGCAGAACACCTGAAGGCGTGCGGAGGAGTGCAGGGGAGTACAGGGGAGTGCAGGGGCTTGCTGGAACATGATGAATCTATCCTTCCATCCTTCACATATCCAGTACAGGTCAATCATGCCGCACTGCTTCTGGTACTCCCCCTTCTAGGCTGCTTGCAAGGCAAATGTCCAAGCAGCCCCTTCACTATCACACACGCCTTGTTAGAGGTGTTATTGTACAGGAAACACACCTGGATCTTGCAGTTCTCGAAGCTCTCTTTGGCTCTGAGCAGCTGGGACAGCAGCAGCATGATACCCCCATCGCGCACGATCCAGTAGAGGTCGATGGTGCCGTACTGCTTCTGGTACTCTAGCCCTTTCAGGATGGTATTGCGAGATTACACTGTCCAGTCACTTGATACAGGCATTCATGCATGTGAGCGAGACACATACCTGGATCTTGCAGTTCTCAAAGCTCTCTTTTGCCCGAAGCAGCTGGGACAGCAGCAGCATGATGCCTCCATCGCGCACGATCCAGTAGAGGTCGATGGTGCCGTACTGCTTCTGGTACTCGCCCGGCCACTCGTCCAGCCCCTTCACAATCACACACGCCTTGTTCGCCGTGTTGCAGTCGTTGATTATGTTCACAAACGTGCCCGGGATGTCCCTGTGAGCGGCAGTGGAGGAGGGGAGGAAGGGGAGAAGCAAGAGCATGTGATGTGTGCAATGGACGAAGTAACTCCCAACTCCTTCACAATCACACACGCCTTTTTCGCCGTGTTGCAGTCGTTGATAATGTTCACAAACGTGCCCGGGATGTCCCTGTGCACGCCAGTGGAGGAGGGGAAGGGGGGCTTAAGGTTCATTTCGTTTTTCTTTTTCAGATGCCTCAGAACCTTCAAAACACCAACTCTCCAAAAAGCTCCTCATTCCTCGCCCCATCACTGGCTTTCTTCGTGCCATATTTCAGGGTACCGCGTGCACTCAATCTTGGGTCTGAGATTGTTTTGAAAATGCTTGAAAAGAACCCCAACTGCACTCTGCAAGAAGCTCGCCTCACCTCTGAATGTCTTCGCACCAGATCTCAGGGTAGCACATGCACACAATGTTGGACGTTAGGGTTTTTTTTTTTTTTTTTTTTTTTCCCCAAACGCCTAAAAAAACACAAATTTTGACTCTAAAAAAAGCTCCTCACCTCTGAATGTCTTCGCGCCAGATCTCAGGGTAGCGCATGCACACAATGTTGGGCTTGAGATTGGCAAGCCCCATGGTCTGCACAGCGATGCGAGATCCTTGTGACACACCTCAAACGACTTCCCACCTCTGGCCTCACCTCTGAATGTCTTCGCGCCAGATCTCAGGGTAGCGCATGCACACGATGTTGGGCTTGAGGTTCGCCAGCCCCATGGTCTGCACAGCGATGCGGAAGCCCTCGTTGAGGGAGTCGGCAACAATGGCCTCGGCCACCCCCTCGCAGCGCTTGTAGTCAATGTAGCTCAGCAGCAGGTGACTTGCTGACCGTGCGTCTTCTGCTCGGTCTCTGGGACGGGGCAAGAGGGTGGAGTAAGCACGTCCGGATGGGCGATTCGCAGGGAGTGGGGTTGAAAAGGACGAGGGAGTGGAGTGAAAGAGGGAGGGAGGGAGCAAGGGAGTGGGGAGGTGAGGCGATGCGGAATCCCTCGTTGAGTGAGTCGGCTACGATGGCCTCCGCCACTCCCTCGCAGCGCTTGTAGTCAATGTAGCTCAGCAGCAGGTGACTTGCCGACCGTGCATCCTCCACCCGATCCCTGGAATGAGGGGTGGGGCGCAGAAAAGGGATTGAGCAATGGAAGCAGGGAGCGAGAGATGTCAAGAGTGGTTGACAGAGAGGTAGAGAGGGCCATGGTTACAACGAAGGGCAAGGAGGGATTAAGACGGATAGGCAACTGGTGAACCATTGCATAGGAGACGCACCTGGAGGGTTCCATTCCAATAACAGGCGCATTGCAAACAGACCTGCCTACCCACGCACCTGAAACGCCTTCGACCCGACGATGGTGGCGAAGATGGTCATTCTGCGCCCTATTTGCTTCATGCGGTTGGCAAAGTCCATAAGACGTTGCAAAACCCACAGCACATGCACGAGCGAGCGCACCTGAAGCGGCCTTCGAGGATGGTGGCGAAGATGGTCATTCCGCGCCCCTTCTTCTTCATGCAGTTGGCAAAATCAGCCAGCTTGGGGTGGCACGGCATGTCGGGTGGCAGAATGCCCCAGGGCTTGCAGAAGATGAGCGGGATGGGGTACCAGTTCTTGGGATGCACCTGACTCGCTGCAGGGCGGCGAGAGGGCGGGAGGAGAGTGCGGGGAGATGAGAAGATGGGGAGAGCACACGGGTGGGGGGGATCAATCTTGAGACACAAAGCCCCAGGCAAAGCAGTGGGGAAGATGGAGAGAAAGGCATCAGTAGACACCAGAAAAAAAAAAAAAAAAAAAAAAAAAAAAAAACCACGTAAAATAGCCCCTAGACTGCCTTCAGGGTCCTTTTGAACCAGAGATTCATTGAGTGGATGTAGCCTAGGATAGCCACATACCTCCGAGGAACTTGAGGGAGCGCAGGGCGAGCTGCAGATAGGCGGACTTGAATCCGTCGCCCCAGTCGCCGGCCTTGCCCTTGAGACTGACATAGTAGTAGATGAGCACCGCTAGCAGCAGGCACAGCAGTGTGAAGAACCACGATATCATGAACATGATCGCTGCAGGGGGGGGGCACAGGGGGAGGAGGAGGGGGAGTACGTGAGGGGGGGATAGCGGAAGAGGTGCGGGAGGGGTTGGTGGAGGGATGGAGACATGGGAGAGGGAGGACGTGCCCAAAGAGAGGGATCAATCGAGCCATCACACAAGCAGGTGATGGGAAGTCAACAAGCGCACACAGAAAAGAGGATGGCAGATGACAAGCGGGATGATCCCTCAGGTGGATAAACGCCGCAAAAACGGAGAAACAAGCACAAAAAAGTACCCCCCCCACTCCCCCCCTTCCCCAAGAAAAAGGTTCTTACTAACGCAAAGGACCGCTCCTGCGAGGGCAGTCAACGTGTGGTGCCACTTCCACCTCGGACGCCACGACGGCGCATCCAACAGGTCCAGCAGGAAGCACGAGAGGTTCACCCCGAGATAAACTTTCAGGACATCTCAAAACTTACTAACGCAAAGGACGGCGCCAGCGAGGGCGGTGAGCGTGTGATGCCACTTCCACCTCGGACGCCACGACGGCGCGTCCAGCAGATCCAGCAGGAAGCAGGAGAGGTTCACCCCGAGATAGCACAGCAGGAAGAACATGGTGATAACAGGCGTGACATAGTCCACATCTCCGATGCACACGAATCCGGCGCAGATGAGGAGAGTGCAGAGCGTGGCGAGGTAGGGCTCCTGGTTGTCCTCCGTCTTGAACCAGTCCAGGATGGGGAGGATGTCGTCGTTGGCGATGGCTGTGAGGAGACGGGGCGCGCTCATGAGGTTCTGCATGGCCGCGCCCAGGGTGGAGAGGATGATGCCGATGTACACCACTGCTGGGGACGGCCAGGCTAGTGTGGCCGTCAGCAGCCTGGGGGGGAGTTGGGAGAGTACGGGGAGAGGGGGGAGACGGGAAGGGATGGGAGAAGGGGGAGAGGGGGAAAGTGAGGTAGGGCTCCTGGTTCTCCTCTGTCTTGAACCAGTCCAGGATGGGGAGGATGTCATCGTTGGCGATGGCTGTGAGCAGGCGCGGCGCGCTCATGAGGTTCTGCATGGCGGCGCCGAGGGTGGAGAGGATGATGCCGATGTATACCACTGCTGGGGACGGCCATGCTAGTGTGGCCGTCAGCAGCCTGGACAGGGGGAGGGGGGAGCACGGGGAGAGGGGGGAGTATGGTAAGAGGGTGGAGAGGGGAGGGGAAGGGGAGAATGGGAGGAGGGAAAACGGGCGCAGGGGAAGAGGGGGGAGAGAACGGCGACCATGGATGATGGTTTATGAGCACGCCGAACCTCCCCTCCTCTTGCCCTTATCTTCCCTCCTGGTATCAGACCAGCAGTGCTGAGCGCAACTGCTTTTGGCACCCATCCAGGAACCTGAGACCCCCTTTCTTCCTCTCACCACTCAGTTAGCAGCATACGCTCTCTCAATGTCCGCCCTCTGCCCCTCGCATCACCCAACCTTATCCCACTTCCCGTCCCCTCTAGTCAACGGTCTGGTGATTGAGCAGGAAACTTTGTAACGCCAAAGATCCAAACACGAAGCATCAGGAACGCGGTGCACTGGGGTGGTATAAATGGCCCAGCCAGAGCACACATCCTTCCACTCCTCCCCACCCCCCTCCTCCCTCCTCCTTCACTGGTCAGTGAGCAGCAAATCTCTCAGCGCCACAGATCCGAACATAATGACAGCAAACACGTAGAGCAGCGTGGTGGTGCCGATGGCCCCAGAGCATCCCCTGCATGTCCTTTCACCCCTCTAACCTTTCACCCACCTCCCCTCTCCCCTCCCTCACCCCTCCCCTCACCGGTCAGTGAGCAGCAGGTCTCTGAGCGCCACAGAGCCGAACATGAAGACAGCAAACACGTAGAGCAGCGTGGTGGTGCCGATGGCCCACAGCGTCCCGATGGGGATGAACTTCTGTGTAACCTTTCCCTTCTAACCTTTCACCTACCTCCCCTCTTCCCTGCCTCCTCCCTCACCGGTCAGTGAGCAGCAGGTCTCTGAGCGCCACAGAGCCGAACATGAAGACAGCAAACACGTAGAGCAGCGTGGTGGTGCCGATGGCCCACAGCGTCCCGATGGGAATGGACTTCTGTGTGTCCTTGAGCGACGCCGATCGGTTGCTGCCCGCCATGATGCCCGTGACCGCGGGGTAGAATAGACCCAGCAGCTGACTGCAGACGTGCGTCAGTTTCCACGGGAGGGAGGGCACGGGGTGGGCGAAGGGAGAGGGGAGGGACGTGAAACGAAGAACAAGTAGGAATAGACTTCTGTGTGACTAGCTAGCTGGCAGCAGGAAGCAGGGACGAGAAGGTGGATGTGGATGGAACGCGAGGGGACAATGGGTGTAACATGAACGTTGAGGGACGGTGAGGGTGGAGCGAACGTGATGGGAGGGTGAGTGTGGAGGAAACACGAAGGGGATGTGAAAAGACCACAGCAGAGGAAAGCGTGGAGGGTGGAAGGCAAGGGTGCAAGGCTCACGTGAAGCTCCAGTTGAAGTTGCCGTATTCATCTGGGATGCCGTTGGCGTTGGTCTTCTGATAGTCCGACCCCCAGTTACTTGACAACGTGCTGAGGCTCAGCCCAGTCAGCCCCTCTGTTACCAGGCGCTCACACGCACACCCCATCACCACACACGCGATAACCCACATGCCATGTGACAGCACAGGCACAGTCGTGTGAGAATCCAAAAACGCGCACACGCATGTGTGTGGACACATACAGACAGGCACATGCAAGATTGGCCATATATCATCCAGTATGTATCAGAAATAAAGAAAGCACAACGCAGCAGCACGGCAAAACAGCGGAAGGGAGAGGGAGGCTGGCTGCCGGACCCGGGCTGCTGCAACATGGAGCAACAACCATTCCAACGAAGATGGAGAAGAGGACGAGGATGGAGGGGATAATTTTCGAGTTGACTAAAGACAAGGAGGCTGGCTACCGGACCTGGGCTGCCGCTGCGGGGAGCAACGATAGTCCCAATGAAGATGCAGAAGATGGCGAGGATGCAAGGTATGAGGAATAACGAATTCCGAGTCGGTTCAAAACAAAGAGGCTGGTTGCCTTACCTTGCAGTTAGGCTGAGTGCCGTACCTGGGCTGCCGCTGCGGGGAGCAACGATGATTCCGATGACGATGCAGATGATGGCGAGGATGGATGGGATGAGGAAGAGCGATTTCAAGTCGACACAAACAGGGGGGCTGGCGGCCGTACCTGGGCTGCCGCTGCGGGGAGCAACGATGATTCCGATGAAGATGCAGATGATGGCGAGGATGGAGGGGATGAGGAAGAGTGGCCCCACGCGCACGACCACGCGCACGCCCCCCAGCACCACGATGCACAGTGCAACGGTCACGATGACTCCATACACCTGCATGTCCGCCGTTGACGCCAGCTCCACCGTCGCGTTGGTCGTTGCGTTCACGCTTACCGTCACCTGCTCCGCTGCGCAATGTGCGGTGCGCGGGATGTGGGAGGGAGATGCAGGGCATATGGGGGAAGGACGTTAGAGGAGGAGGGCGCACCAAAGGCACCTCTGTCCAGAATGATACAGGGCATATGGGGAATGAAATCGACGTGGGACGGAGGCTAGTGAAAAGGGAGAACGGCTGTTAGGTGAGTGGGTGGGCAGGTGGAAGGAATGGTTGGAGCACGGGACTCACGTGGAAAGAGGGACATTTGGGGCAGCCAATCCAGCAGCGTTTCGACCGCACCAAGAATGTATCTGAGCACCGGGGGGAAAAGGGGGTGTCCAGCAAGTCAACGAGACAGGTTGGCGTTGTGGGACAGGCACTTTCGAAACGAGGAATCAGCCATGGGGCGTTCAGGTTCTCGAAAGTATAAACTGTACGGAGGTCGAAGAACAGCACTTACAGGGAGCCCGCGATTGCATTGCCGAGGAAGAAGCAGAGCCCTATGCTAACTCCCACCTCAGGCCCTAGCGCTCGCCCTATCAGGTAGTAAGGCCCGCCTCCCTGCAGTACACAACGCAGTTGATAGTAAGGAACAAGGGACCTCCAATCCTCATCCACACATTACATGCCAGCGCCATGAATGGACTGCGAGGACGTACGACAGCAGAGTGGCGCCTTGTTTTTCCTTAATTAATATTCTCGAAATATTGTTCCCATTCGCTTCCGAGTTCTCAGAACTATTCCACACAGAAGATTTTCGGCGTGATCCGTGATCGCGTTGGTGTGATTTGTGTGAGTGTGTGGCCCGCAACTTTCGTAATACGGAAAAATTAATCGTGAAAAGTGCGCCGCTCACCTTCATGGCGCCGTTGGTGGCAATGGCAGAGAGGGACAAGCCCGTGAGCACTGTGCTGAGGCACGTCAGCGCAACCAGCACCAGGCTCTGCCCGATTCCCGCAATACCTACAATCCTGAGAACATTCAAGCGCGATGGCGACGGAAATACAGGTGTGAGAGGAGGTAGTGCGTCAGGCGATCAGAGAATGACGGTGACATAAATGCTGGTATGTGGGGTAGAATATGAAGTGAGCGACATGATGGTTGACTCCGTGGCACTAGGAGCGACAACGGGAACGCCAGTAACCTGTTCGTTGTACGTACCAGGAGAGACGAATGTAGAAGATAATTCCGAGGATGTTTTGAACGCACGGGATGTACACGCCGGTCAGTGTACCCAGCTTCGCTACTTTCATGTTCTGCACAAGACCAGACGCGATCAGGTGCGTTCAGCCACATTACATTCAAAAACAGGTTATGCATTATATGTGACTCATGTCTAATCAAAGCCGATTTGATTCGAAAGTTTTCAATCTAGAAATGCGTGTCGACTTACGACTGTGGAATGGACGTACCCTGTCGGAACCTCGGTGAACGTGCATCTCATCGCCGTCACGAGGACTCATGGGATGCTCACCAGCCATCCTGCACGAGCCGGTCAAAAACCATTAGCCAGGATTTGATAAAACAATTGGATGTGATGGCGAATGTGAGGGGAATGCGGATGGAGGAATTGTGGTGTGTTTGCTTGTACCTTCTTACGCCGACAGCATCGACAAGAGGGTCGCTCTCGAAAAGCTCGAGCTTAGATTCTCGCTCCCTCACGGCGCTGACAGGTGCAGGCTCATCCTCTCGCTGTCCATCGTCCATAGATCTCCTGAAGTCGGCCAATCGAGAATGTCGAAGGAAGATAATAAGGATTATAAGGAACTATAGCCAACCCGATATTAAACGACAGGAATGGGGTGTTCAGATCCCGTGAATCAGCGACTATTTGTAAACTAGGAAAGAACAGTTCCAACGAATTCGATGCACTAGGCGTAAAACGTCGACTATCTTCCACGTCAGCACTTACTCCTCGTCACCATGAAGATCAACGGCGGACATCTCAAGGACTTGCTGCTGGCCATCAGTGCCTCTCCCGGATCCACCTCTTTCGGGCTCCATTCCGACCTATGCTAGTCGACTAGCTAGCGACCAGAATAATCTAGCCCACCGAGATTTCAGGAAACAAAGTAGCGTATTCTACACCGTCCTTGTTTCAGACCCCTAATAACAAGGTTCCACGAACATGGAACCAAGGAATCGTGGATCCACCTGGAAAACTAGCGATGTAGGTTCTGCCTAAAAGAACAACTTCAGGCCTGCTTCCTGAAAGCTGAATCTTGCAAGTCCCAGCATCAGAAATTCAGGAAGTCACTGTCAACCAAGCATCACCAGCAGGTGTGGACTCGACGACCCATCAGAAAGGCTTGGATCTGGCCAGCTGCGCAAAGCCCGAGAGCTCAGGGACTGTCCACCCAACCAGCCAGATCAAAGCTGAAGTCTTGCGTCGGCATTGATTTTGTCTTGCTTCGACATCGATTTCACCGCATAGATCCCCAAGTCGTCAAGGCCTGGTGACGAGCCTGCAATCGGGAGGGCCTGCCACATTAGAGTTTCCCGCCTGCAGCGCAGTCATCTGGTTCGTCCAAATTTTCGGTCTGTTCTACATTAATCGCGTCCGTCCATCCTTCTGGCAGCCACAATCCCCGCAAGTCCGTCTGATCGACTTTCTGTAAGGAAAATTCCTTTTCCTTACTTCGCGTCCCTGCTCAGCGCGTACACCACTGTTCCCGCCCAGAGCACCCAACAGTAATCCGTTACCACTCGCGACACTCGCTTCGACACCATTCCCGCCACCGTTCACGACGCGACCCAACCTCACGGTTCGGTTGGTAACCCGCGCTCCGGACCTCCGCCTCGACATCTCCCAACCTCGGCGCTAGGCCCGTCGCGCAACCCATTTTCCACACATAGCCGTTACCACTGTAGTTTCGCTATATATTCTTCGCTCATGCCTTCGCTCATTTGTACTCTTGCTTCGATAGTGCAATTCTCGCTCGTTCACTCAATTGCACTCGTAACACTTGGTATTCAGAGCCTACGATCTCTTCTCGGACCGCACCCACACCTTCGCTTCCCCACTATCTCAATTTTTTGGGGGGGGTAGACGTCTCTCAGCGAACAAGCACCGCCGCTCGAAGTGCTCTCTCGAAAGCACGCACGGCCACGACCGAGGCTCTCGCTGAGCTTGCCCGACACCCCCGCCATGGCCGAATTTACTCTCGCGACACTGACGCAGGAGCAACTCGACCGTCTCGTGCGCCAAGTCGAGGATTCGGCGCTCGAAATTGCGACGCTCACGGCGGAACGTGACTCCGCGCGTCAGCAATCCAAGGTGAATACTCCAGCACCACCACACGCACCTGCAAATGTACCCGCACAATCGGAGGAGCCGATCGTCATTTCATCCGGCACACCAACACAGAACGACAGCGTGGGACAGCGCTCAGGCGCAGCCAGTGATGGCGCCGCTCACTCGATGCCTGGCATGGAAAGGAACAGGGTCGCACCAAGCCCGCGGGAGCCTCGTGAAGCCCGTCGGCACGTGGAATTTGCGGCGACAAGTGGCGACCACGCCAGCATGGCACCAATGCCACTCAAGCCGCAGCGCCCGCCTTGCTTCGACCCGAGCCAACGTGGAGGTCCGACGGTTCAATCGTGGGTCTTCACGATGAACGTCTTCTTCGACGCGAACTACGTCGAGTCGGACGCAGCGAAGATCAGATACGCCGTCTCGCTGCTGAGGGGCCCCGCCATGGACTGGTGGCGAGTCATCGTGACGTCGCCACGCGCCTATGAGCCACCGTCGCAAGAGGAAGGGCCCACGGGCCCAGCTGTCACCTGGAGTTCATTCTGCGAAACCGCCCAATACAGCACGTGGGATGCGTGGTGCGCAGGGCTTCGGGCGCGCTTCGAGCCGATCGCGTCTTCTATTTCGGCGCGTCAGAAACTGCGTACTTGGCAGCAGCTCGGATCGGTCCAAGACCACACGAGCGGTTTTCTCGCATTATGCGAGCAAGTCGGCTATATGCACGAAGCGGAGCGGGTGGACCGTTACGTCGGAGGGCTGAAGCCGGACATCTCGCACGAAATCATGCTACGCGGACTCTCGAATTTCAACGAGATTCTCGCGCTCGCCGAGAAAATCGACATTTTACGCCGTCCGAGACCGGGGTCCTACTACGGACATCGCCCTCGGGGACCAATCGAGCACGCCACTGTACACGCTGTTGCGACGAACGCAGCTGCCGCGCCGTTTAAGGGGCGCTGCTTCGCTTGCAATAGGCCGGGCCATCGTAAGAGTGAGTGCCCAGAGGAGCTGAGGCGCCGCGGAGCAGAGCAGGGGAGGGAGTTGTCAGATTTATATGACATAGCTACTGTAGGCTATAGCGGGGTAGCACATATGGGGTACAGTTTTCTAGGGTTTACATTTGTACCCAACTTTCCCTTAGTCACTCATTCCTCGTTTCTTCTCATGGTATCGAGCAGGTTCCCTAGTGGGAACGATTCCTAGGGCCCACCACCACGAAATTTTTTTTCCTGCCCGGAGCGCGCTTCGCTCCGGCCCGAGTCGCGCCCTGTGTGCTCTCCCTACCGTCGCGCCCTCGCTAGGCCCCTCACGGCCCCGTCGCGTCGCCCTTAGCGGCCCTCTCACGGCTCCCTAGTGCCGCCCTTACGGCCCGTCGCGCCGCCCTTACGGCCCGTCGCGCCCGTCGCGCCGCCCTTACGGCCCCTCGTGCCGCCCTTACGGCTCCTAACGCCGCCCTTACGGCCCAGCGAGCAGCCCCTTACGGCCCCTTACGGCCCCTCACGCTACCCTTCGGCCCCCTCCCGCTGCCCGTCGGCCCCTTCAGGCCCCCCCCCCTCGCGGCCCTTCGAGCCGCCTTCCGCGGCCTCCTCACCGCCCGTCGCCGCCCTCGGCGGCCCCTCGTGGCCCTTCACGGCCTCTCCGCCGCCCTTCGCGGCCCCTAGCGGCCGGCCGCCCCCGTCTCTGAGGCAGCAGCCGCCGCCGTCTCTGCAGCAGCAGTCGCCACAGCTTCTGCGACTGCTGCCGCGGTCGTCACCAGCCACACCAGCCGCCGAGCCGCCCAGCAGCCGAGCAACCGAGCCGCCGCGCCGCCCAGCAGCCGAGCCGCCGAGCCGCCGAGCCGCCCAGCAGCCGAGCCGCCGAGCCGCCGAACCGCCCAGCAGCCGACCGCCGAGCCGCCCGGACCGCCGAGTCGCCGAGCCGCCCGAGCCGCCCGAGCCGCCCGAGCCGCCGAGTCGCCCGAGCCGCCCGAGCCGCCGAGCCGCCCGAGCCGCCGAGTCGCCGAGCCGCCGTACTGCCGAGCCGCTGAGCCGCCGAGCCGCCCGAGCCGCCCTGTCCGGTAAGAGCAGCGCCTCTATCACTGCACTGCCCTTACTCTACTGTTCGCGCTGCTAGTCTACTGCTGTCATGGCTACCCCTAGTGTCCTCGCCTTTGACGCTGAGGGTCGGGCCATTGACTTTGACGTCTGGATAGATGACCTGCAGCTTTTCTTACAGTGCGATAGGGCAGACGGTCTCTCCCTCTTTGACCTCACCTCTGGTGCCTCTCCTGCCCCTGCTGCTGATGCCGACGCCACTGTTCGCTCACAGTGGGCCACACACGATGCTGCTGCACGTCTTGCTGTGCGTCGCCACCTGCCTACCTCTGAGCGTGCGCACTTTAGCCAGTACAAGAGTGCTCAGACCTTGTACGACGCTGTAGTTGCGCGCTACTCCTCCCCTGCCACTGCTGCACTGAGCCGCCTCATGCTTCCGTACCTCTTCCCTGACCTTGCTGCCTTTCCCACAGTCGCTGACCTCATTACGCACCTCCGCACTAGTGACACTCGCTACCGCGCTGCGCTTCCTGCTGAGTTCTGCGCCAAGAACCCCCCCCCCATGTACATCACCCTCTACTACATAGTCACCCGGCTCCCTGACTCCCTTCGCGTAGTCAGGGACCACTTCCTCTCAGTTTGCCCCACCACTCTCACCGTTGACCTCCTCGAGAAGGCCCTCCTAGCAGCAGAGAAGAGCATAGTCGCTGTAGGAGCCTCTCGTGGTGACCCTCGCACCCCCGTCTTTGAGGGGTGTTCCCCCTCCCCCCTTTTGCCCTCTGTTGCCTCTGCTGTTGCGGCCGACCTCGTTGGTTTCGAGTCGGTCGGCGCTGCGTCTACCCTTAGCGGGAGACGCCGCCCCGGCAAGGGCAAGGGGGGCAAGGGTGCTGGAGGGGCTGGCGGGGGTGGCGGAGGTGGCGGTGGCGGCAGTGGAGGGGGTGGGGGTGGTGGTGGGAGTGGTGGCGGGGGTGGAGGTGTCGGTGGCGGCAGTGGAGGCGGAGGCGGCGGCGGCGGTGGCGGTGGGAGCGGAGGTGGCGGAGGTGGCGGCGGTGGAGGAGGCGGCGGCGGAGGAGGTGGAGCTGGTCGGGGTGGCGCTGCGCAGAGGGTCGGCTCCGGTGGTGGTCAGCGCCAGCAGCAGCAGCAGCAGCGGCAGCAGCGCACTCGTGACATCCCCCCCCCTCAGCAGCTCCGTGAGTGGTACGCTGCACGCCAGCGGGGTGGGGGTACTGGTCCGTGCACCTACGTCCTACGCACCGGCGACCGCGCGGGTGAGCAGTGCGGGGGTACGCACTCCACCCAGCGCTGCTTTGGCCGCCTCACGGACGCTTGGTGTCACCAGTTCCCTGAGGCCACTGAGATCCTCCGCTGGGGCGAGCTGTCTAGGGCGGGTGTAGCTGTCTTTGACCTTGACTTTGATGCTATTCTTGCTGCCATGTATGCTGTGACTATTAGTGATGAGGGTGACTGTTACCGGTGTTTTCCGCCCGACCCGGGCATTGAGACTGCTGCTCTAGGTACTGGTGCGGCTGCTGCTCTAGGTGCTAGCGAGGCTGCTGCTCTAGGTGCTCGTGCGTCTCCTCCCTCAGGTGCTGGTGAGTCTGCTCTCTCAGGTACTGCGTCGGCTTCGGCCTCCCACACTTTCACCCTTGACTCGGGGGCTTCTCGCTCCTTCTTTCGAGACCGCACCACACTCACGCCGCTTGGCCGGCCAGTTGCAG